CTACTTGGGAGGCTGAGGCAAGAGAATTGCTTAAGCCCAAGAGTTTGAGGTTGCTGTGAGTTGTGACACCATGGCACTCTCCCAGGGGTGACAAAGTGAGACTCTGTCTCAAAAAAACCCCCCAAATGTCTCACTAAAGATAATACATCTTTTCATGTAAGAATATCCATCTTTTTTAATAAATGAGACACTGCAATCAACAAGTATAAGTAAATACCAAGATAATTTGAACTATTAATACTTACCCACACTGGCATGATCAATAATAGTGTCAATATCTTGTAGACCCCATTTCTTATAAGCTAACGGTGGTGGTTGTATATTCTCATTGCCGGATGCTGCAGCTGTCAAAGATAAAAAATTTTGACAATCCAAGTCTTACAAAAGTCATTAAAAATGTAACAATTTATTATTCTAAAATTTCAGCTAATAATAATGAGGCGAAGTAATGGGAGAACAAGGCATGAAATGGGATTTATTCAGGTCAAGACAATGCACATAAAATGTAAACATTTATTTTTATTTATTTTTTTTGAGACAGAGTCTCAAGCTTTTGCCCTGGGTAGAGTGCTGTGGCATCACAGCTCACAGCAACCTCAAACTCTTGCACTTAAGCGATTCTCTTGCCTTAGCCTCTCAAATAGCTGGGAGTACAGGTATCTGCCACAGTGCCTGGCTATTTTTTTGTTGCAGGTGACACTGTTGTTTTAGCTGGCCCAGGCTGGGTTCGAACCCGCCAGCCTTGGTGTATGTGGCCAATGCCCTACCCACTGAGCTACAGGAGCCACTGAAAATGTAAACATTTAAAAGACTATATTTGACCTATCATAAGAAATTTTGGAATACTCAAGTAATTAAAGAAGACTATTAAAATTCCTAAGATACTACTAAAAATCAAGGTGATTTCAAACTGCAGCTGATGCAAAATAAGCAATTTCTTCCTCTTAAGAAAGTAGGTAAAATCCTGGGAACTGCAACCAGCCCTTTACTCAGTGACAAACTAAAAGCCCCCCACGAGCACCTGATAGAGCACATGTACAGCAAGGTCGCTGATCTAGGTAACAGAGGCCATATTTGATAGAAAGGTGTGTTGGCAGCAGTGGCACTGCCAGAAAAATCAATAAAATGCCCATCTCTAGCCTCAGTCCTGCTATTTAAGTTATAATGAGTTACACCTCTT